GGATTGCATGTGGCTTTGATCGATGTTCGACTGGTTAATTTGTTCATTATATCGTCGATTAATCGTTTAATGATCATCGGGTGATTGATTAAGCGTTTATTCAGAAAATGCATTAAAATTGAACAATTCTAGAAAAATTTCGAAAAATTTCGTGAAAATTTAAAAAAGTCATATTTTGGGAAAATATTAAATTTGGTGAATGTTTTTTTTAAATTAAAAAAACCAAAATTTCAAAATATCACAAAATGGCAAAAAATAACTGTAGCCACCCACTTTGAGTGAAATTTAATTTTTTTTAGGTGCCCGAAAAAAGAATAATAATAAAAAATTCAAAATTTTCAAAATATTATAAAATGGCTTAAAATACTTGTGGCCAACCATTTTGAGAGAAATTGTAAATTTTTTAGGTGCACGAAAAATGTAAAAATAATAATAAAATAAAAAATTTCAAAACTTCACAGAATGGCTTAGAATACATGTGGCTATTGACTTTGAGAGAAAAATAATTTTTTTTAGGTGGCCAAAAAAAATTAAATATGTAAAAAATTTGAAAACTTCTCAGAATTGCTTATAATTCCTGTGGCCATCCACTTTGAGTGAAATTTAAATTTTTTTACGTGGCCACAAAAATAAAAAATTACAAAAAAAAATATTTCAAAACTTTACAGAATAGCTTAGAATACCCGTGGGCACCCACTTTTAGTGACATTTAAATTTTTTTAGGTGCCCAAAAAATTACAAAAATAATACATTAATTTTATTACAAAACTTCACAGAATGGCTTAAAATACTTGTGGCCAGCCACTTTGAGTGAAATTTAAATTTTTGTAGGTGCCCAAAAAAAATATAAAAAATCAAAATTTGAAAATTTCACAGAATGGCTTATAATACATGTGGCCACCCACTTTTAGTGAAATTTACATTTTTTTAGATGCCCAAAAAAATTAAAAAATAATAAAAGCCACAAAATTTCAAAACTTTACATAATAGCTTAGAATACCTGTGGCCACCCACCCACCCATCGGTGGCCGCGTTGGTTTGCGCTCAGTTCCTTTCACGAGAGGTCATGGGTTCAAAACTCGCCCATCGGTGATTTAAGTGGGGGGTCGTGGTGGTGGGATGCTGCGCTAGCCCCCCTCGAGGACTAGTCGGGCATCACCGCTGGTTTGAGGCCTAGCTCGCCGGCCGCGCGGACACCTCGATTATAAAAAAAAAAATACCTGTGACCACCCACTTTGAGTGAAATTTAAATTTTTTTAGATGCCCAAAAAATTAAAGGCTTATAATGCCTGTGGCCAGCCACTTTGATTGATGATCGTGTGGCCGAGAACGAAGATCATGTGGCTGAAATTGATGTTTCATGGTTGTTCTTGTACTTGATGAATTATCGTGTGGTTTGAAAGTGGATTGTGTGGTTAATTATGGCTAATGTCGGCTTAGCATGGCATATCGTGCTCATATATTGATGTTTGATATCAAAATGAGTGCGATTCATAGTATATTTGTTCGTAGGAAATTGCACGTCATAAACACTCGGCATTGGCTAATTAAGAGGGAACATTTTCTGCAGCCTATCAAAATGGTAAGCTTCGTCATGTACATCATTATGTCTCCGTAATATGTGTTCATATTTTTTTACATATTTGTCTAACCTTCCTACTTGTCAGTTTAAACGTGGAGGTCACGTGCATAGAAGACCAGCCTCTTCAACGTCCTCGTCCCTCGCCCTTTCCTCGTCTCCTGTCCTTTCATCTAACCCGTAACCACAATATGCTGATGGACAATATGGACACGTTGGTCCTTCCTCCAATGCTCAAGAACATGTTATGGGACTTGGCCACATGCCAACTCAATCTCCTCCAGTTCAATCACCTTTGGCTCCTTCTCTTCCACCTTATTATTCAGCGCAACATTCGAATAATGACGGAAACGAAGGTCAAGAAGATAACCGAATCCTGATATGCCCATTTGGAGATTCGTAAGTACTTCAATTTTTTTTTAGTATATGTAATATTTATGGCTTTCGATATGGATGTCAACTGAATTGTCGATGTTGCACAATATCCGTATGTTTGCAGATTCACGGATGCTATGTTTGTTGTGAGGGAACTGAATAAAATAATCAAAAACTATTGGATGGGGGAGTATGTTAATTACAGAAGTGTTCCACAAGAGGTGAAAGATTTGTGGTGGAATGAGTTCAAGGTAAGTTTTAGATATTCTATTTTCTTACCAACTAAGTTCGGTGTAGTATATTGATGGTCAAGAATGATGTAAAGGGACCAGAACAGCTCTTTAGTTTTCGGTACTAAAGGGGAAAGAATATTTTCCCCGAGATGAACTTAACAAAGTCTATCGCCGAATTGTCTGATGCATGGTAATGGATATGTGACCATCATAATAACTTTCAGTTTTGCTTGTATTGATTGCAGCGGAAGTTCAGGTGGGATGACCAGCTCGAGAATGAAGTGAGAAGAATTTTTCAGAAGAAAGTCAGTGATTACATACAAAATGTGATGAATAGAGCGAAGAGCAGGAGAGTGAAGTCGGCTTTCATTACAGCTGACAATTGGGCGGAAATTAACAGAATTTGGGAAACTGAGAAGAGTCAACAAATCAGTGAGCAGAATAAAAAGAACCGATCTTCTAGTTCTAGTGAAGGGTCTGCCACATATGCTGGGGGCTGTATCAACATTGGGGAGCATCGCAAACGACTGGTAAGTCTGTTAAATAAGTTATAAGTTAATTTAATTCAATTACTCATGTTTACATTTTGTAGGCACAAGAATTGGGGACGGAACCGACATTTGCAGCTAAATTTGAACGCACATTTCAAAAGAAAGATAAGACATGGATTGGCGATCGAGCAAAAGCTATTAAGGTATGTAAGGTTATACTTTGGGCTTTATGGAAACTAGAATGAAAATCGTGAATGCTTTTAATATTTATGGTAGAGATATATATGAAGTTATTTTATTTTCATCTATATTGTTAATGTAGGAAAAATATGATGAACTTTTAATGGGCAATGCTAGTGGTAGTGATGGTTCTGCAAGTGCGTTTGAGCCATCAGCTGACAGTATGACATTATGGGTGGAGGCAACGGGTGGGGTGAAAAAAGGAAAAATATTTGGGATGGGATTCTTGTCAAGGATGTTCATGCCGAATCAAGCTGGAACTTCATCATCCAATGTGACTGGTCGAAGGAGGACACGACATGACGAGCAATTGACCCAAGAAGTGAACCACCTGAAAAATATAATTGTAGAGAGGGACGAAGAAATAAATGACTTGAAACAGCAAATGCAAATCGTTATGCAACACCTCAACATCAATCGCGGTTAGGTTCCTCCTGTACCTCCTGCCAATCCAATAGGTGATGAGCACAATGATGAGCGACACAATGATGCTGACATTGATGATGATGCTGATGATTTTCTCGGTCCTTTCTAGTTGAAATTGCCAAAATCGGGGGTAAGCTTGCTTCACACTCTTTTATGACATAAGTGCAGTTTCACCCAATTTGTTCCTGCCCTACAATTACTTTTTGTGCACAACTTTCTCACAACTAGGTTCAAGGATCTAATTTTTCCTATGTGACAGAAATACGGTTTACAAGGGTGAAAAAACTACAGTGGATGTCAAAGTTGACTCATACTCATATGTAAGAACATTGATGTTCGTCCTGAAACGTTTTTTTGTTAACCCTTTTACTTGTTTTTTTATACCTAGTTCCACATCCATGCATAAGCACTTCTTTTATATTATGTACTGACTGAATATCTTTATTTATGTATCCACATTTCATCAGGTGTCCACAAAAGTGACTGCTTTTGGTGTCCTGCCGAGTACCACAGCTGCCCAATCTTGTGTCTGGTTTGTCGATTTTTCATTTTCTAAGCATCTCTATGGTTGTCCCGCCTCCTACGAATGTTTTGAATGTATTATAAGATTGGATATCAAATATCATCGTGTCAGGCTTTGCAACTTGACATATATCATTATTTTTTGTGGACTAGCATCTTTCCTTCAATTACATTTTTCAATTATATGGCTTTGTGTCTGGTTTGTTCGTTTTCTGTTTCTGAAGCGGAATTTACGGTTTTCTCGTGTCCTTTGACTATTTTCAATGTATTACATGATGTTCAATAATGCGTAGCAATTGATATGGACAAGATTTGATGGCCGAAATGCTGTAAAATTTGCGACGAATATTTACATACGAATTTTGCGACCATTACAGTTCGTGGCTAATTTGCGACGAATAAGTAGCGACGAATCAAGTTCGTGCCTAATTTCCGTCCAATACATTTTGCGACGAATTATTTGCGACGAATTTTTTTTTCCGTCGCAAAAATTTGCGACGACCTAGTAGCAACGGAATTTTTTCCGTCGCTAAATTCGTCGCAAAATCGATTTGCGACGGATTTTTGCGATTTTTTCGTCGCAAAATCCGTCGCAAAGAACATGTTTTTTTGTAGTGTGAGCCATAGAAGACTCGACGTTTAGTCCATGTTGACGACGACCGGCCATTGAACCTTGCTTTGATACCAATTTGATGCCGGAGAGAGTGTGGAGAAGTAGGAGGTAACACAAGCGAGCACTTAAATGAATAGGTTACTCGCCACCCATAGGATTTATCCTAAGAGATAAGAGCAAAACAGGAAAAACTTCTTGTTCTCAAGCCAAAGGCTCAAATAAGTTATGAATCAATCAAGTCTTCATTTTTTTTATTCATCATAGAATGCTTATATAGATGAGTGTGGAACAACCGTCCAAGCAGGAGTAATTTCCTAGACTCATTGCAAAGACAAAACTAGTTTTACTAGAAAGCATAACAAAGTCCTAAGAAATAGAACTTTAACTCTTAGAACCTTCATCACAATTAAAACTCATATACTCCTTGGAACTAAGAAACGCAATAATAACATTTACAAGACCTCGAAAATATGAGAAATTTAGTTAGTTTTAGGTCTCCAAATTGTACTATTTCCAATGTTGCTAAATTAATGGCCTTCAAGGAATGCTCCGGCATCAAAAAGTGGATGCCAATTGAAGTTCTGCCATTAATTCATTGGGGCGGGTTGTATCAAAACAGACATGATGTTGCCCTTGGTTGCGCGGTCCGGAACCCCATGGCCATCTCCGTACTTGTAAAAGCTGTGAGACACACGAGCAAGATTCAAACACCCCCCGATAAAGGCTTCCATCCCTGGGAATGGACGATCGACAAACGCCTGTTCGTTCATGATCTTCCAAGTTTCCCAAATCACGTCCTTGACGTGTTCCACCGCAGTTTCTCGTGAAGCTCCGCTTTCATTCATGTAGCACTCGATTGCCTTCGGATTATCTCCTCTGAGCAATTCATCCTGACCAAGGGGACGACGTTATTCATATATCTCTTACATACTCATCACTTGATCATGTGAGTAAGGTGAATTGCTCCTTAACACAGCAAAGGGCGTATTAAGGAAGTATGATCACACTAGGAAGGAACCTAGCTATATACATGAGTTAGAACAAAGACATACCGGCGATGTACCAAGATCATCATTGAGTCGAAGAATCAAGCCAGAAATGTACATGATACGTGGGGTTTTAGATACGTAGTCCAGTGCCTCATGTGTTAACTTGTGTGTGGTCATGAGGAAAATACAGAACAACATCAAGGGCCCTCCAGAAGATGTTACCGAAGTGGGGAGATATTCCTCCAATATTGGGGTGTAGACGTTGTGGTACCACTTGGCCTCTTTTATGTATGCCCTACATTCATTCACCCACTAATGTACGGAAAAAGAGAGTCAGTGGACCACTTTAGGTCTGTGAATATGGAGAATGAATGTTGCACACGGTGATTCCTAAAGTGAAAATCCAGGAGATCGTTATCATTAATTTCGTGAGATAAGTATCTTGGGCGGAAACATACATTGTCATTAGCTAAAACTTGTAAGAATGAGAATAGGAATTCAAGTATGAGTTTGACTACAGTATGAGCAGACAAAATTTCACCAATTTCCGAATGTAAGGTGTGACGTTAAAGCCTTGCTCTTTCAGTATCTCAAATCCGACTTCGTTGGTAGTGTTGAACAGAGCTAGGAAAGAAATCCTTATTGTCTGAGGAAGTTTTTCAATGTCGGCAATATCCCATCTGGAAATGTCCAACATCTCAAGCATTATAAACAGAAACACTGCTAGTCATTTCATTTCTGCGTGCGATGAGATAATATGATTTACATTTATATGCATGGTCATTAAACAAACCTTTCAACGAAGTCTGTCAGGAGTTCAAGTTCTTCCAAAGTGCCAAACACGTCATAAACATCGTCTATGAGCGTTATCATGCAAGTAATCTTGGTTAACATGACCCTGCAAAATCCATATTCTGGCTCGGGAACCATAAAGCAGGACCATAAAAAATGTTCCACCAGTCTATCTCTGGAAAAGCCCATTTTGTTGACGCCAAGCTCAAGCCACCACCTGAAACATTTGCCACACATCTTCATATATAATGAGTTGTTCAGGAAATGGACTGAACCTATACAAGACTCTACGAAAAATATAAGGACTTCACATGAACCGTGTGTACACTCTCATTGGTTTAGTCGAGCGTCCACTGAGTCCACGCATTAGTTTACTTAAGTAATTCAACTAATCACATATCAAAGCACACCATTCTCATGAAAGTGGACTAAGCTAAAAAAAGAATATGTGGACCAGAATGAGAGTTACTAGGCAGCCGATCAATCATTATCGGATTAGATGAAATGTACAAGAAACTTAACTCAAATTTTTTTTAACGTAGGAATTATAACTCCCTGCCATTTATCTAATCTTAGTTCTAAATTATGAATTACTTTCATTTTAATGGGATGCTTGACGCAGGGCGTACATCGGTGACTAGCTTTGGACGAGCAAAGATGATAATAAACGTGAATGATGAGCTTCCTTTGTTTTCCGTTTTCTTCGAGTGCAAGATAATCACATCTCTCTTTTTCACCTAAAAGCATCATGTCTACACATTTTTCCAACTCATTTTGGTCTATTTGGATGGTGCAAATATGAATAAACAAGTAAATAAATGATTGGTGCAAAATTTTACGCGTATCTTCTGTTGATGTACGTATATACCTTGCTAGTTCGCTCACTTCCTTCTGGTAGGTTGACTGCAATACATTGAAATCCAACCTCGCCATCTCAAGCAAAGTCCGGTTCATGTTCGGATCTTCCTCGTAGATGTCCATGAACCATCTAGCTTCCAATCTATTAGGTCTCCAATGGATAGGCAATTCCAAGGCATGGCTTATTTTTTTGCCCATGCAAGAGGAGATGATTCCTCCTCCGAGATTAAGAAGATTCAAATGCTTGCAAGTGAAAGCCTTTGCTTCTTCCACCAAACTTTCGCCTTCCAGCCCATGAAAAGAAGCCTCGTACAGACTCAACAGCCCCTTCACATCCTCAACCAGCGATACCTTAAAACCGCCCATCTTGTCCATGAAGCTTTCAAACACATCTATCAAGCCAATGGTATTTAGTTAGTCGATAGAAAGTTTATATATAGGATAAACAACATGCCATTAATTAAAGTTCCCAGTGGAATTCTACTATTCCGTGCCAAAAAGCATGGATTTTTTTCCCATACTGTGGAGCCTTTTCTTGGATTATATATTTATGAAAGGAGACTCAATGAAGATTTGGTGCAGGTACGTATTCCAGCTTTTTATATTGGAGGATACTCTCTTTCAAAATGTACAGATTTTTAGAATATCATATTTGCTGATGAAAATTTTATTATATTCTAAAGCCTAATCATTCTCTGAAACTATCGTATTAAAGCTTTTGCAATTAAACTAGGGGTGCATTTATTTCACTAAAAACTTCACAATAAAGGAAAAAATTTTCCGCATAATTTATTTTCAAGGAAAATATTTAGTTTTTACTTATTTGGCGGTATAGGAAAAGTGATTTCCTTCTTTTCAAAAGAGGAAGTCATTTTCCTCCGACCTAAACTTGTTGTTTTCATTTTGTAGAAAACGGTTTTTATAGATAGATTAGTTTTCTGTCAACCAAATACCGGAAAGTCGAAAAACAATTTCCTTCATACAAACGGTAATTTTAGTTATAAATGTGGGGGCAAAACCAAAAGGCAAAGTGAGATGGAAAATAATAAACATTATACCTTGAGATACATCATAGCCATGTTGTCTGAGAAGTCTAAATCGAAGGGCAGTTGAGTGGAGATCATTAGAAAACCGAGCATCATATGAATCATTTTGGATGACTTGGAGTGCCTTCTTGATCTCGTTGTCGAAATGGTATTGCAAACCAAGTCTTTGAATCGCATCAATGAACTCAAGCTTCGCCAACAAATTATTCTCTTTCTCCAATGTGCACTTCACCTCTTCCTTCATCCTCTGGACCCGCTCCATATATCTCTCCTCCTACAATTTGATTTCACATTTATAAGCCCATTAAAAACTAAACATGTTTTAGCCTTCTTAGAAATTTGAGAAATTCAAAGCTTAACAAGGCATTAATAATAAGCAAGGGGAAGCATATTAAAACTAACCGCGTAATCAGCACTGAGTGACTTCACAAAGTTGTAATCCCAAACACTTGGCATGTAATTTGCCGAACGCCTATCGATTAGTAACTGTTCTTTAGTATTCGAATTCATGCAGCTTATGCGCATATTTCCTTCAGTGGTTGCGACGGCAGCAAAGGAGGAGGAGGAGGGTCGAGGGTGTTTCAAGAGTGGGACAGAGGGTCGTCGTCCGCAGTGGATTGAAGAAGGGAGGCAGCTTTTGCTAAGAGCTTCAATAGCCATGCTTCCTGTGTTTTGGTATAGCATTCACAATTCATGAGTTTACATAAACATCATAAAGCGCCGAGAATCTAGGGATCTATATAAAGAAAAGAATTAAAACTAAAATACTTTATTGATTGATTAGTCTATACGTCTTCGTTTGTGATTATTTTATAGAAAATAAATAAGGATGTCAGTTTCTAGTATTGGAAGGTAATTATTAAGTTCTAAAATAAATGGTACGTATTCTATAAAGTAAATGCAAATATAAATGGTACAAATAAAGCTAAATAAAATCACGAGCATTAAAGATTATATAAAATGGGAAAGCGATGCATAAAATGATAAGTAGAATGATAAAACCAAACATGTAGGTGGTACGTATTGATATTGAAATGATAAGAAAGTTACAACGCAATTGAAAGTCACAGTTAGATGAAAGCCATCCCCAAGGGCGGTAATCCGCACTCAAGGGAGGTGTGATATGAAGACTACTAAGTGATTAACCAACCCTTACCTTACACGCAATGAAGAAAAGTGACTAAGAAAACTTACAAAGTAATTGGGATATAAAGGTAGAAGGGGATGGTTTCAGGATGGGAAGAAGAAGAGGGAAAGAACTTCTCTAAATGGAGAAAGGAAAGGCATGCCTCTAAGTGAGAATGAGATGGACTTTTATAGAGTGATGAACAGTAATAAATGTTATGTATTAGCATGTTTTCTGCCTGAGAAAAAAGAGATTAGGAAAGAAATAATGATTACACATTATCTCTGTCTGGTAAAAATGATGGCATGTTTTTCTTATGCTGTTTAAAAGGGTGATAGGTATGGATAGGCTGATTAGATATTATAAAATCATTGTTACTTCCTATATGGGACCAATCCAAAGCAAATGTACCTTTCCATCGTGTACAACGTGATTCACGCCTAAGTCTAGAAATAACTAAGTTTGTTTTTTCCAAAAAAATTTTGTGTTTATTTTGCAAATCATTTCTCATCAAATAAAACATAAAAACGTGACCAAGCTTTGGCTAGGGGTGAATTCCCTAAAAAACCGCCAACTTTAGGTCAAGTCCTAAATCTATCCCAAACTTTTTTTTGTTTCAGAAAAAACCCAAAACTTTAAGTTCAATCTCAAATCTGCCCCGAATTTCGTTTTGTGTAAAAAAAATAAGCAAATTTCAATTTATTTTAAAAAATATATCCCGTGATCCAGTCCCAACTTGACGTGACACTTCAACATCAATAACAAATCCTCATCAGCAAAGTAATTGGGCGATAGGTACATACCAATGTCGTATTTCCACTTCAATAATCAATCCAATCCAATAAAAATTGTTGAAATTCTCCAAAATAAATTCATTTTAGGATATGAAAGTTAGGGACGACAACAAATCCACTCCAAAAAACTTTTTTTAATTTAAAGAAAACATAATTTTTAGGTTTAGTCCAAATTTGTTCCGAACTTATCTTTGTCTAAAAAAAAGCCCAATTACTTTGTTGATGTGGATTTGTTATCAATGTGGAAGTGCCACGTCAAATTAGGACTAAATTACGAGGGTATATTTTCAAAAATAAATTGAATTTTGATGAGTTTTTTACACAAAATAAAATTTGGGATAAATTTGGGACTAAATTTAAAGTTTGGGAATTTTTCTGAGAGAAAAAAAAATTCGGGACAAGTTTAGGACTGGACCTAACATTTAAGGTTTTTTTTAAGATAAAAAAAATTCGAAATAAATTTGAAACTTGATCTAAAATTGAGATTTTTTGGGGAATTAGACCCTTTAGCTGGTTGGTGCCGTGCTGCGGTAGTAGGTGAGTGAGCCCATAAAATCTTTTAAGATTCAGGGCGGCGGAAATGGGAAAAAAAACAAAAGAAATGGCAGGTCGTACAAGCTTAGTGGTCGTACGACCATTGGGAACTTACTATTCAGGTTTTTGAGTAAGTTTCTTACCCAAATGACTAACTTCAGAAAACTTTGTTTTCGTTTCATTTAATTAACGTAAGCGCAATGTCAATATTTTTTGGTTCCTAGCGTCAACATAGGTAAATTTTTAATGGTCCTTATTGACAGAATTCTGAAGGAAGGTAAATGTGTTGCACGGGTACATGTTTGGAATTTTTGTGTCACAAAAAAAAATTAGGGTAAATATATCACAATAGAATATTTAGGGTTTTTGGTGGCTTTGGCTCTTGCAAATATTATTGGAGTAACTTACCAACTTTTATTTGGCCTCAGAAGAACTAATTTGTCCGTTAATATATGACAAAGATTTCAAATGTTTTCAAACCCGCTCCGCCTATAGATATTCATTAAAAAACATATGTATTTCTTACATATTTTAACTAAAAGTAACATGCTTTATATATTTATGCATTGTATTTTTAGTTTATCTTCATGTTTAACAGCTTAAAATTTACTCTATAATTACTTGCTTGCCTCAACAAATGGGGATCAAAAATTTTATATTTGAAATGTTTGGCTAGCTCATAAGTTTCATTCCTCAACCAATGTGGGACAAGGCTTTTAGGAAGTTATGTTCAAGTCAAGTACAAGACTCGACTTATATGAGATGCGAGTTTCAAAAGTTTTCTAAGCAATGTGACTTCCATGAGTCTCATCTTCATTTTGTCCCAAATCATCTAATTAGTGAAGATGGAGCTTGCTTGACTCTATAAAACCCATTCTCATGAGGCCATTCTTTTTGTAAACACACCCATGAAATGAAAACCATTCTTTCTCGTAGGAAAGTTCAGAAGTCTTTGGAAATGGTACTGAGTTCTCTTTCTCTTTAAAAAGGAAAAAACTTCTCATCTAGGGTGATGCTTTACGGGGCACCATTGCTTCGTGAGGCGACACCCACCGAGCCTCGCTTGGGGCTCGGGACGGGGGCGAGGCAGGCCTTCTCTCTGCCGGGCAGGTATGGGTATGATTTCCTTGCCTATCCCTAGCCATGCATCTCAAATAGAGGGTATTGATAAACCATATTGGCTAATGGTAACAAGGACGTCAGCGTTTTAAGTAGGAGGGTTTATAACAAGTAAATTTCAACGTTGGAAGAGTTTTTTGAAAAGATTCATAAGTACGATCCACGCCCAAATAGCCATTATCTAAATGCTCTTTTCAAAGGCTTGTCTAGCATAAATCTGTCTTTGTATCTCATGTTCTTGTAATATTAACGCGGAAGTTAATGAGGATCTTGTAATTAAGTCAATGAAAAAACACCGAAGAAATAGATGAGGAACAATAAAGGACACCAGAGATTTACATTGTTCGATCTAAGTGTCGGTACCTATACTCACGGAGAGAGTCAGCAGCAAATAATCTACTACAATTAGAGATTCAGAGTTACAATTGTTCATACGCTCAAATGTTTCTCACACCTCGATTATACAAAAACCCTAAAGTGTTTACAAATAAACCACTTAATTGGATATAAAATTTACAACACAAAATCACCGGGTGTTCTAGCCCATTTCTCCGTGTGTCCGAAAAAAAGCTTCACCGTCGTCTTCTTCCGACTGCCCTTTTTGTGAGCGGCTCGTCCGCCAAGACTTAGGACCCATTTGGTTCGGCTTTTCAAATACTATTTGGGGGAATGCAAATACCTTTAGGTGAAAGTCACTTGGGAAAATGAAAGTGGTGTTTGGTAAAAAAAATTTGTAAAGCTACTTTGGCCTAAGTAGTGTTTGGTAAATTTTTTTTTGCAAAGGGCTTTGGCAACTTTTATTTTTAATATTCCGGTTTTGCCCCTATACTGTTCATCTTCTTCACCGGCGAGGGTGGCCGGCGAAGGGCCGACGAGGGCGGATCTGGCCAGCGAAGGGCCGGCGAGGTCGCCTGGGTCGGGCGACGGTCGCCTGGGTCGGGCGACGGCCGCTTGGGGTCGGGCGACCGCCCAGGCACCATCGCCTGGGTCGCGCGACCCAGGCGACGGTGCCTGGGCGGTTGCCCGACCCCAGGCGGCCGTCGCCTGGGTCGGGTGACCTCGCCGGCCAGATCCGCCCTCGCCGGCCACTCTCGTAGTGAGGAAGATGAACAGTAACAGGGGCAAAACTGGAATATTGAAATTCGAGTGAGGGCAATTTGGGAAGGGAAAAATAGGCTTCAGCATTCCAAAGCATTCCAAATGCTAGCTTTCGGCTTTTTGGATTCGAAAAGCTGAACCAAACAGTTCAGCATTTGGCCAAGGGGCTTTCGAGGCCGAAAGCCCCTTCCAAATTCTGAACCAAACGGTCCCTTACTGTGCTAGTGCTCTCTACTGAAGGAACTCTAAGAAACCTTCACTGTGCGGCTTTAAAGAAGAGCTACTGTGTAGCCACTATTCAACAAACCCTATTAGCAGCTACTTGATAAGAAAGAGATGACTCGGTGGGTTGGATCGAAAATGGTCTAATTCAAAATTGCACCGCAAATCACAAACCTCATATACAAATCTTTTAATTTATTCAATCAAATCACAAATGTTTTTCAGGAAATATAATCAAGTTCTTTTGATCAACGATACCTAAAATTACATTTGTGTCGTAGAAAAAAGTGCTTTTGTGGCATTCTTATATTTCACTTTTCAACACAATGTTAGAGCTTAATTGCATTTGTAGGCAAATGTTGATGACTCAATTAAACAACTTGAGAGGTTTAGGACTCGTTCATACTCTTTGATAAAGATTGAAGGCTTGATTGAACTAATTTTCTTTTGTCGGAAGATTGAACCAATTTAGAACCCCATATTTTCCCTTTTGTTTTCTTTCCCCTAATTACTCCCTGGCCCCACTTGTTTTCTTTTGTGTGGCTACAAGGCGTCCAAGTCCACTTCCTAGTCAAGTAGCCCACTTGGATAAAAGAAGTAACCAGAGCATATCTTGTGCTGAATCTTCTTGGATTTATATCCGTAAGAAGCAACATCAAATTTGAACGTATTAAATTCTTCCAGCGGATATGGATTTTGTTCGCGGCTAAAAAATGAGACATAATTTAACACATGTCGTGCACGAAAAACAAGGGTGATGGTTACATGATACTCGTGCATGGAATAATTAG